TTCAAAAGTGCAGCTTCTGTCAAGTAGTTTAAGGGGTTGCCAGATCCTAGAAACATTTATAGACGAAAAACTGACTCAAACCCCACCCCTGCCCCACCTAGTCACATTTTGTCAGCTGTGGGATTCCCAAAAGCGTTAAAATAAACGTTTTGATTTTATTTATTGTATGTTTTAAATCTTGTTTGGATGATTTTAGATAGACTTGTTTATGTATATGCATATTTAATTATGTATTTTATTCCTAAATCTTTTAATTTGGGTAGTTCTTTTCAGCTCTTTACATGATAATTTGTTTAAAATTTGAGCTATAAATAACACTGTCAAAATGTGAAAAAATGACAAAGCCATCCATAAAATATTATGTCAATTATTATTGTGTACTATTGTTGTGATAGTGCCTGTTTTAAGCAGTTAACATGGATTGAAATGCAAGTTATAAAATGTTTAAAAATGGGGTTAGACATTGCTGGCATGCTTTGGCTGAATGTGCTGGATAAAGTGGGCTGAAGGGTTTCAGGTAAAGTGAGCAATAACAATAAAAAAATAATTTATTAAATAATTCAAGTATTGTTTAGAGAACTCAGTGTGAACAGTGTGTTGAGAAAAGTTAGACAGGATAAAAAGCTTTAAAACAGTGGTTCTCAACTCTGGTTCTTGGGGACCCACTGCTCTGCACATTTTCAGGACACCTGAAAAACCTGGGTGGCGCTGTGGTACGGCGACACGCAGCAGCATTTTGGTAGCGTGTAGTGCAGTGCAGTTAAAAAAAAAAAAATTGTGTTGTTTGTTTTTTGCTATCTATTTGTTTATAACAATGACTTATTTTAATATGTTGGGCTCTTTTTTACTTTTTATGTTTTTTTGCTACTTTCTTGGTTTTTTTTTTGCGACTTCCGTGAACCTGTACGGTATAGCCGGGAATTTCTCCTACTACTACGTAACTCTGAAGTTGGCACGGTGGATCCTCTGACGGCGTTTCCAGCAGAAGTTATTCAGTCGGACTCTACTGAGGTGAATCGAGGATGGATATCCAAGCCGAAATAGGTGAGGAAGAGGGGGAGTCACGGTGGCGTGCGCCAGAGGTTAAAGAGACAAGGCCATCGTCGCATGCCTCTCCCTACGGTTATGTCAGTCGCTCCGTAATAAATTAGATGAGCTTCGGGCAAATGTTAAGTTCCTTGAGGAGTATAGCAAATCATGCCTTCTTGCTTTTACGGAAACATAGCTTAATTGATGCGTTTTTGTAAGAAAAATATCCATATCCAAAACGTAATAATCACTTTAATGTAGCTTGCGCCAACAGTTGTACACGGAAGCAGCTCTGGGCGGATAACGTATGAGTTCAGCCTTACGCATGCGCTGGTGAGTCTCGTGAAAATCAACGTTTGTTTACAGGATCAAAGGAAGCAAAGTCGGAGCCGTGTGAGACGCTTTTTTTAAATGGATGGGCGCTTTTTATTTTACTTCTTTTGGACTGATGCATGCTTGCGCATCAGGGAGCCGGCATCAATATGCGGGGTATTGAAATCGTTTTTTAAACGAGCGCTCACTGTTTACTTTCACTTTCGATTTCGTGATAATGCATACTCTGTGTAAAGGGAGCATAAACTGCAGCAGATGGGGAAGAATATATTTTTGTCGTAAAAAATTTGAACTTAGTTATCTGAACTGAGGTACACTATCACTGTCTTACCACCTCCAAAGTGTATGCAAGTATTTCTGGAGCTTCTCCATTGCTTAAATTGCTTTATGAAGAAATTAAGTTGGATGATTTACTGCACACTTGTTTATGATAAAGCATTGAGATAATATCAACTGATATTGACATGAAACATGCACGAGATCTGCAAACAACACTCCCTACTTCTGAATGATTACACTTGCACATCCTGACAATTGTTTTTACCCTGTTTAATCACTATGGTGTAGACATACTATAGACATTATTAATGTCTTGCCAGACAAGTGGGAGATGTTTTCCACCACCGTCACTGGCCGTAGGACGTTTGAGCATCTCTGATTTCAACAAAAGCATATTTTTTTATCATAAAGTAGGAATTGAGTATAAATAATAAGGCTTAGTCATTAAAAAAAAACATGGTACCATCATTTTTGTCTTCTTCATATCACTTTCATAACACTTTTTCTTATTCTGTAACACATTATCAGAAATATCAGAAATGTAGAAATTTTCCACATGTATGTACTTTAGATCCACGTCTCATGTACAGTGTGTGTATATATACACTGAACAAAATTATAAACGCAACACTTTTGTTTTTGCCCCCATTTTTCATGAGCTGAACTCAAAGATCTAAGACTTTTTCTATGTACACAAAAGGCCTATTTCTCTCAAATATTGTTCACAAATCTGTCTAATATATATTATGGAAGTAAAAAACAAAACAAAACACCTACTATAGGGGTCAAAATAGAATTTCATAAAATATAAAAGTAAATAAATTGTAATTAAATTGTATTATTTACAAATTACAATTGTAGATCTAGACAGTTAGGGTACATATGGCTATGATTTTATTAATACATTTGTCTGATTGATTTTATAGTCTTAAGCATTCAGAAATCACACAAAAGAAAATTAAGCAGTTTTATACGATAAAACCATGGTTAATTTTTGTAAGGGTTGTGATGTCTACAGGTTTTTTGTTGAAGAAATTATAGAGGCTGTGTCATCTATAGTAAAAAGGTGGCCAAAAATGAAAGATTAAGTGGTTATTTGAATTAAATGTTTGGTCAATAGCCTATTAAACAAGGATTTGATCATCCTGTAAGTATAACGCAGCAATTACCAGGCCTTTGGCGCCCTTTACAGGCATTATAATAACATGTAATGTACATAAATTGTTTATTTTGTATTACATTATTTTCACAGTGTTATTCAATGAAACCATATAATTATTAATTAACCAATCATTATTGCCTGATTGTTTTTTATATAATGCATTTTAGTTAATTTTAAAGGCTGTTGTTGGCTTAGGTCTGTTCTGTTATCTTAATACTTAATACTACTTAATACCCAAACTGCGTGCTCTGCATATAGGGAGCGGCGGTACTGGGTTAAACGGTTCAGTCACAACAGGGATTCTGATTTGGCTTACCAGACAACTGGCATGTGTGACAGGTCTTAATATATTTAGAAACGTTGCGTTTTAGGCGAGGCCAAAAACAATTACACAGTATGCAATCATAAGTCTTTTTCACTCCAAGATGCCCCGAAACGTCATCATGAGCGAGTCTTAGTACCATGGAACGAAATGGTATTGGAACTACTACTTGAACGACTGGTTCCTTCAAGAAAACTTCAGGGAGGGTGTTAAAGGAAATGGTGTTTTTTGTATATAGTATACAGGTGCATCTCAATAAATTAGAATGTCGTGGAAAAGTTAATTTATTTCAGTAATTCAACTCAAATTGGGAAACTCTTGTATTAAATAAATTCAATGCACACAGACTGAAGTAGTTTAAGTCTTTGGTTCTTTTAATTGTGATGATTTTGGCTCACATTTAACAAAAACCCACCAACTCACTATCTCAACAAATTAGAATACTCCATAAGACCAATAAAAAAAACATTTTGAGTGAATTGTTGGCCTTCTGGAAAGTATGTTCATTTACTGTACATGTACTCAATAACTTGGTAGGGTCTCCTTCTGCTTTAATTACTGCCTCAATTCGGCGTAGCATGGAGGTGATCAGTTTGTGGCACTACTGAGGTGGTATGGAAGCCCAGGTTTCTTTGACAGTGGCCTTCAGCTCATCTGCATTTTTTGGTCTCTTGTTTCTCATTTTCCTCTTGACTTCAGTCTGTGTGCATTGAATTTATTTAATACACGAGTTTCACAATTTGAGTTGAATTACTGAAATAAATGAACTTTTCCACGACATTCTAATTTATTGAGATGCACCTGTATACATTTTTTTCTAATACCTTGTTGTTCTGGTGCTTTGTATGTTTGTCTTATTTCTTATTTCCACTTTCATAATAAGATGTATGTTTTAATGTTTATTAGATTGTTGGATTCCCCAATAAAAATATTTAAACTCGATCAATTTCATTCTGAATAAAAGTATTTTTTCTTTCTTTTTTAAATCTTACTCTGAATGGTTGTATTTTGAGATAACACCTGTCTGGATGTACATTATCCTGCTTATTACATGGCTACTTCATATATAAGTAAATAATTGGCTGCCAAATAAATATTACATATTTTCTTAGCTCACTGAATGCAAAGCTTCCGTGAAGAAAGCTGTTGCTTGAAAGTCCAATTAATACTGAAGTTTGCTTTGTTGAATTTCCAACAACAGCAGCAACTCTCACACCTTTAATTACTATATATATATAAAAGTGAATGTGTACTGAAAGCAGAGACTCATTCTGAAAAACAAGCAGGTCACAGATGAGAAAGTCATTTCCAGGCACAGCCCAGTACACAGAGCTCATGGGAGTTTCAAGGGCACTCGGAAAAAAAAAGGAACTGGCCATCCCAATAACAGACACTAAATTTGCAGAAACAGGTTTTAATTGATTTTAAAATGCAAACAATTCAAAGGAGAGCATTTTACCAAATTGAAAGTTAAATAAACTAAACAGGCTGATTTAGCTAAGTACATTCAAGAAATGTTATAAGTTCTTGACCTTACTATTATACACCATCCAGGCCACTCTAAAAAAACACAGCAATAAGCACATTGTAATAATAAAGAGGTTGACAAACCAGCTCGAATTAAAGAATAGCAGTAATTAGAGAATCAAAACATAATATTATAACATAGGCTGTATAACCAAATTAGACACAAGTGTGCGTTTAGTAGTTGAGGTTTTGACAGATAACAAGGTACATGGACAGGAATATAGAAAAATAGGGTTACAATGTGATAATTTTATACATTAGAAATAATTAAATGATAAAAAGTGATATGCAACAATAACAGTCATGTTTAAATATAGAGAACAATTTGAATGATTAATTAAGTGGGTTAAATATTAGTAATAGTTAATGGGTTTTCAGGATGTCAGTGCTAGGTTGCGTCAGGAAAACCTGCGCCAAATAGATGTCCAGACGATCCGCTGTGGCGACCACTAGCAGGAGCAGTCAAAACTGAAACAGTAAATGGATTTTTAGGATAAATTTAGACATAGTAAAATGCTACACATAAATATTCAAAGGTAATTGATACCTGTGTGACTAGAATGAAAATGACAGTTCTGAACCCAGAACAGATACACTGGTTTTTCGACCAAATGAGAATCCACATCCCAGTATTTTGACCTCCACCCCACCCAAACCAATATATGCACCCGTGTCGACTCCAAGTCCCAATTTCACATCAAGTGGACCGGCACTAGCTGACGCACTGGCAATCTCAGCCTGAGCCATTGCTCCGGCCCCGAGTCTAGCCACAGTGGCTTCAGCACCAGCTGAGGCGTTTGGGCCTTTGGCTTCTGCCCTAAATATACGGTATTCAGCACTAGCTCGTCCAACTCCTGCTTCCGCATAGACTCCAGCCTTGGGAATCCTCTTTCCTGGTTTGTTTTTAAAAGCTTCCTTATATGATCCGCTTCGAGCATAGGTGCCTTCTGCTTTGGCATCTGCAGGTCTGTCAATCGTGTCAATCATGCCTATGATGCCGCTTCCTGAAGCAGTAGCTGATGCAAGTTCCACACTTGGCCTTGTTGAAGTACGCCTTTTACTTTCCCATGTTTTCTTTTTGAATAATTTCTTATTAATCTCACTTGAAACAGTGAAATCGACTTTGGGCTTTTCTTCACGCAGACATGTGGTATAAAGTTTGTCACATTCTTCATCTGAAAATAAAACATTTGTTTTAATGCAGTGCAAATATAGGCAGACGTTTAGAAAAATAACAAGCTTTTTATGAATTTACGTCGTCATAGCTGCCACTGAATATTAGAACATTGCAAAGGTGAAAAGATATTTTAACTCAACCTTAAAAGCTGTTATTTCTGTATTTGGTTATTATCATAATACAGGTGCTGTATTAAGCAGTACATAAAGTATTGAATGAAAAAGTGTTTCTGTTGCTTCATGAAAACATCTGAAATGGCTGTGTATTGGACTAATATTGCATCTAAACCACATAATCTATGTCAAAGTACGCAAACACCGGGTGAGTGTTGCTACGGGAAGCAGAAAGTGTCCGACTTCACGTCTCTGTTTTCAGAACATTAGAACACTGTAAATGTGACAAGCTGGTTTTACTCCACCTTGCATGCTAATATTTCTTTATTTGGTGCGATTCAGTCTGATGTTTGGTTTGCCTCTTTTCACATCTTTATAGTGTGGTAGTAATAATATATTTTTATATAATATATTTTTGATTAAAGACACAAACAGTCAAACCAAAATGTATTCAGACACCTTCAACATTTCTCACATTATCACAGTTTATTCACTATAGTTTAGAAAATTGTAATAAAATATGACAAGAACTGTGTCAGAACAAATTCATCTTGATAATGTCAGATAACTTTGATAGAAAGGTTTGTAATGGATTACAATCAACCAAAAATTCAGACAACTGTTAGTATGACAATATTTACATGACTATCAATACTTTGTTGACCAATTACAAGCAATGCTTAATTTTGTTCAGTCTGTAGTGTAAAAATGTCAAATTAGCAATTAATGAAAAAACACTTAAGCAAAACATGGTCAGGTCAATGTGTCTGAATAATTTTTGGTCCCAAATTTGCTGGTAGTCCACTGTATGAAGAATTTTTGGGTATGATTTGTCACAGTTTACTTTATTTTGCTATCCTCACTTACATAAATGAACTATAGTGTCCTGCACCCACTAGTAAAAAAATATCAAAAATTATATCTGGTGTCTGAATAATTTTTGGTTTGACTGTATTTCAGATTTTCTCAAAATATAACAATTACCAGTTTTATACAGAGAGTGTTTGTGAATATTCAGAAACACATACAACAAACTACATTGAGAAAATGAAGTAATTAAATACACAAAATAAAATACGTAAATGATCAAATAACACTAAAATGTAGAGTATATGCAAAGTCACTGTTAAATACACTCCATTTTCATAATCTTCATGGATGTTAGTGCGTACTTTACAGTATTCATCTGCAAAAGAAACAGATGAGCTTTAACCTTACCCCCACACTTACCATTTTCGTCATGTCCATGGTGGCTCAACTGTAGTTCTTTAGACATTGTAGTCTGTCACAAGTTCTCAATCTCAATAAGTCTTTGGTGGAGTGTCGTTGTGTCTCGGTCAGTACCGCTGCTCCATATAAAGGGTAACACTGAAAGTGAAAGCCAAAAATGAGAAGTCCTGCAGGTTTAACTGAAGCCCAAGCCTTTAATCACTTTCGATCCCATATGGAGTCCATTGCCACTTAAAAGAATTGTACAAATGGAAGTGGTGTAGGGTGACCACTTAAACTATGACTTGTACTATTTGTTATAATATGTCCCGTTATTTATTAAAACCAGTGGCGGGCCGTGCATTTTACACCTAGGCCTTCAGTGGCGTCCTACATGAATTAATCCATCTCTTCATACCATCATAATGATGCCACGGCTATAGAAACCATAAATATTACACAGTAATGCAGTATAACAGAGCACTACATAACAGACAGGTATCTTATGTAGTGAGAATGAATGCCATTACTAAAGAAAGAAACCCAATTAACAATTGCGCAACACATCATCTGTAGCTGAAGCATTAACCTAACAAAATGACACAAATACAGTCCATCCGATGTTCTTACAGACATTTATTCACCCAAACGCATTTATACCTTACCATGGAAAAATATATTAAAACTAAATCAGTGATTCTGATAGTGTTTAGGCCAGCAGAGAAGGCTTTGCTGGCCCTGACGGCCCACCACTGATTAAAACAGAAGCCCTAGAGCATGACATCATATCCTGTCCGAAAAATACTAGTTGTTTGATCATCCCTTAACAAAAAACCCAACACGCTCTTCTTTACTCGAAAGAGAATGTCCTGCAAAATCTCGAAAGGGCCAGTTCATCTCGAACCTTCAGCGTTTGCTCTGATTCCCAGACTCAATGTGTAAGTGTTTAGTCTCTCTGTGTCATTAGGGGATTTCTGGAATATTGCCAGTAAATTACAGTTTTAATCAGTCCTTGCAATGTTCTGGGATGAGAAGTTGTAACATTACCAGTAAATTAGCATTTTGATGCTATGGCATGTGAACATCCATCCATCCATTTATTCTCTACATCGCTTTTTACACTCTTTACACATTTGAAAGGTTCCATGGATGTTAAAGGTTCTTCATGGAACCATTAATGGCAATAAAAACCTTTATTCTTAAGAGTCCATCACAGCACATATGAGGTCTGAATGTGCTGCGTAAGAAATCTTTGGGCCAGTCATAATATTCTGATGGAGATTAAGCTGTTTACGGTAGCGTCAATGCTTTTTGATTGTTTTTCATGCAGTAAAATAGCTTGACGTTTTTCAAGATACAAAGGAACATCAAAGTAAAATCACTTAAGAACTAGTTTGACCAACAAGCAATCTTACTGCTAGCAATCAACTAGCAGTCTTACTTTTCAGATTCAAATTAGACCAATTTGGCTTTTTTTATGTACAGTAGCTGACTTTAAAATGTCTTAAAGAAAAAAATGAGATAACTTTAGGCCGCATCTGAAATATGTAATACCATTGATATTACCTGAGAAGATAAAGTAAATATGCTAGAGGACGTACATTTAATATGGGTGAAGTAAGAACATATAAGCCGAAGTGTTTCAAACATGGTTGCACAGTTCAGTTGAATGATAAAGTTTACCCTCTTTAACTGTGTTGTTCACAATATATATATATATATATATACAGTATATATATATATATATATATATATATATATATATTTATTACATGCAAACACTGTTGATGTAATTTCGTCCGGATCTGAAATAGATCATACAATTGATATAAACTAATGCAATCAGACAAAACAATAATTTATATATATTTATTACAATATATACTAATAAATTGAACATTCACTTCAGTGGTATGAGATTACTGGATGCTTTCAGTTGATTTCCTATTGAACTGTCAACAACTGCAGTGGTCAAACTATTTCAAATATAGTGAATTAAGTTAACTCCATCATAATGCACAATGTTTCCATCTTTCCATCTATTTGATTCAGATCGGGACTTTGGAGTGGGTTAGCGATTTTTTTCTTCTTTCTGATTTCTTTTTTTATTAAACAGTAGAAAATATCAAATTATTAAGGCAATACAGTTATAAAAACAAAACAATGAAAAAAATAAAGTATACACAAATACATATCCCTTAAGAAAATTAACGTGGTTTTACTATTTTTAACCACATTTTTACTACAAAAAGCATGGTTAAACTATTTTTTTTTTCTTTTTTGCAGTAAGGGATGTGTTGCCAAGTTAACAAAAAAAAAAAATAAATAATAATAAAATTACACCTAGAGAGAGATGCAGTTTTGACTGCTTTAGGATCAACAGAAATTTGGATTGTTTAGATCATCTTTGAATATAGAAAATAAAGGTTTAGAGACAGATATTTGTTTATGTATGAAATTTAGCTAGCAGGAAACACAAATTAATTAAGTTATATATATATCCTCTTTTGAGTAGTCAAACAATCCATCTGTTTTTTGACTTCTTCATATTTAAGGAGAGAACTGTAGTTTCCAAAGTCGGATATCATTTGTTATGATTTTCAAGGGTGGATAATTTAATAGAGACGCTATGACGTGTCCCTACTAATATCCAGCCACTAAATTGTCCCTGGCAATAATTTTGATCAAACAATTAAATGTGTGTTGTCTGCCGTTATGTCCCCACCAGTGTCAGAGATGCTGATTTAGGAAAAGATTGGAGTGGTCTCTTAATTTTTTCCAGAGCTGTATAATGGGGAAACATGAAACAGGTTTATGTGATGGATGTCGGGAAGTTGAGACTAACAATTTTTTTTTTTTTAAGTCATGTCAGTTTGTCAATTTTAGGGTAATTTACCGTGTTCTGTTGTTCATGTTGGTAGGAGCAGATGACAAAAAAAACAAAGAAAAATGTTGTTTAAAAGAAAAAGAAACAAAAAAGAGGAAGACATTTCCTGCTTGCATTTGCATTTTTTTCCTAAATGTCAGTGGGCATTCTATGACATTCAGACTTAAGAAACATTTAGGGATTTTTCTGCAACACCCTGAAGTTTATGGGAAACAATGATAACAGGAATTTAAGGAAAAATGACACTTCATGTACTTTATTACACTTGTTGATGAATAAATATTGTCTAATTGCTTCAAGAGATGAACTTTAATCAGAGAATTGACACTGTCATTATTATATATAAAAATGTACTAGTATATATAAAATAGTATTATGGCTCTGTGAAAAAAAGTGCAATTGAAAAGAGTTGAAGGATCCAGTTCAGCAGCCGAAAACTGCTTCATATTTTTGTGGAAACTGTATACATTTAAAATTTCAGGATTCTTTGATGAATCGAAAGTTCAAAAGAACAGCATTTATTTGAAATATAAATATTTTGTAACATTATAAATTAGAGCTGTCAGTCGATTAAAGTTTTTAATCTAATTAATTACATAATGTTTCGATTAATTAATCTAATTAATCGCAATTAATCACAAAATAAATTTGACTGTGAAAATACCCACAAAAGATTATTTAAAGCTAGTTTTGTGTTAAATTAGAACGTATCAAATAGACATTACAAATTGTAGCTTTAGAAATATTTTATTTGATTCAACATAAAATGTATTACACATAAATATTTAGGCTACAACGACCTAACATAAACTATGGAACATAAAAGAAGATAATTTGAGAAACATCTCAGTATTTTTTGTTCATACAATGAAACTCATTGGTAACCAAAACGTGCTTTGTTACCAACAGTCTTCAGAATAACTTCATGTTCCACAAAAGAAAGTAAGTCATTCAGGTTTGAGTAAATGATGACAGAATTTAATATTTTTGGGTGAACTATCCCTGTAATGTTTTTATTATTATTATTATTATTTTAATTAAATTATACTCTAAATAAGAAACGAAATCTTCCAGGAGGTGGCGGTAAATGTATTCATTCGAATCGTTCAAACGGCTGATTCATTCAGGAATTCAGTAATCGGCTCTCTTTATGAATGGGTCTTTGAATCATTGATTCACACGATTCGTTCAAAACGCAGATTCATTCAGAAACTAAACACCTCTGTGCTGCTCGGAGACGCACAACAGTTCTGCTGTGGCTTTATAAAGGTAATATATTCTCTGCAAAATTGAGCAAAAATAAATAAATAATAAAATTGTGTTTAAAATATGACACAATATCAACTTTTATTTACTGAACTGTTGTATAAAATCACATTTAAACTCGTGATATTCATGTAATACTGTTCTCGCTGCTCGTATGATATCGCTTATCATATCATGATATAAATATGAGACAAAAATACATACAGGGGCATTTTTGCACCAATATCTTGAATTTTAGAGTTGTTGCTGCATCATATTTGTCAACTGTATGGAATATAAGACATGTACAGGTCTGGGGGCGGGGCCAGTGCGTTAACTGCGTTCAAATATTTTAATTGCGCTATTTTTTCATAACTAATTAATTAAGTTAACGCGTTAAACTGACAGCCCTATTATAAATGTATCTATACTGTCACTTTTGATCAATTTAATGCATCCTTGAATATTTATTATCATTTTAAAATCTTACTTCAGATTTTTGAATCGTAGTTTCCACAAACATAAGAAGCAGCAGAACTGTTTTTAACATTGATAATAATAAGAAATATTTATTGAACAGCAAACCAGCATATTAGAATGATTTCTGAAGGATCATGTGACACTGAAGACTGGAGCAATGATGCTGAAAATTCAGCTTTGAATCAGAGGAATAAAATACATTTTACAACGTATTCAAATAGAAAACAGGTATTTTAAATTATACAAATATTTCACTGTATTTACTGTATTTTTGATCAAATAAATGCAGTATTGGTGAGCATGCAGAGGAGACATTCAAAATCATTAAAAAATTATTCCAAACTTTTGTATAAAGGCTTTTTATATATTTAAAGGTTTTGATCTGGAAGGTAGATAAATCACAGCATCCTTACTTTTGTGTTATATGAATTTTATTCGCGGTCTACAGCTGTAGT